TCCGCTATGGGCGAAGGTTGAGTGGGCTACCCGATTCATGTGTTTGTGGTGTGCCTCTCAGCCCCGCTCATGCACTTACCTGTGCCACTGGCGGCTATACCATTGCCCGTCACAATGAGGTGCGGGACTTGGTTGCTGGACTACTGAGGGAGGCTGGAGTGGTGGACGTAGAGACGGAGCCCCGGCTATTGCCCTGCAGCAGTGAGCATTTGCCTGGTGGTCGTTCCCTCAACCGATGCGCAGAAGCTCGTCTGGATGTGCGGGCTCGCGGCTTTTGGTCGTGGCAACAGGACGCTTACTTTGATGTGCGGATCACTCATCCCGCAGCGTCTGTGTTGTCTCGATCACAAGCCCTGAGTCAGCTGAAGTCTCACGAGCGAAACAAGAAAAATCAATACGCCAGCCGTGTGGTTAACGTGGAGCGCGGCTCCTTCACGCCACTTGTGTTCTCGACGTACGGCTTTAGTGGCCCAGAAACTACTCAATTCCTGAAATCATTGGCCTCCCTGTTTGTTGAGCGCCATACTGAACTGAAGTACCCACTAGTAATGGGCATACTACGCACCCGTTTGTCTTTCTGCTTGCTGCGATGGGCAGTCACCTGCTTCCGCGGTTGCCGCGGTTCGTACGGCAAGAGGCGACAGCCGAACTCATTTCTGGCCCAGTGCCGCCAGGCGGAGTAGGGTGCTGCCTTTGGCCTCAACTTAATATAATGCTATTTGGTTTTTCCCCTTTTATTACTCTGTGTTCATTGCTTGTTTTTGTATTGATTTACTTCCTTGACTGCTTTTGTGTTTCATCATTTTCCGGTTGGTTTTGTGTTGATTTCCCCTGTTCACTTTACATATTGTAATGATATACATTTGCTTTGCCCGTAAAAGAGGCTTTTCTCATGATGATGATGATTTATTTTTTATTTTTATTTTTTATAAGCCACTTCTTTGGGCAAACAAAACACAATTTCCCAAGATGAAGGAGTGGAACCCTACACAAATAATAGTTTAAATGAATCCAACGCAAAGATCGTTTTTCCATGAAATACAACAATTGAACACAATTACATGCTTAAAGGCATGAAAGCAACAAAACAGCAACAAAAGGGTAAGCGCCATACCAATCCCGCATGCACAGTCAGGACACAGCACGATACTTAACAAACTAGACCTGACTCGGCCACGGCAATCGAGACATCATGAAAACATCTCGCCGGATGGTGGTACCGTGACCGAGCCCCACGTATGCACAACACAGCAGCACGCAGCAAAGCAAAAGACAGCCGACAGCGGAGTAAACCAATGACCTGGGAATAGTGAGATCCCGATGACTCGGCCTGCATCTGGCACAGTCTCTTGAGGAACACATTGCACAGCCTCCCACAACCACCATGCACAGAGAACACGAGAGGTGTGAAAGCGGCTCTTTCTACATTTGTGACTCTTGGCCCATATTCGTTCCACTTACGCCGCTCGTGCTGCTGGTACAATGCAGGAAGGGTTCTGGACCCGTAGGAAGGAGCATCTGGGCAAAATACCCTTACATCAAAAAAAGCTTCCTCCCCACGGGTCCAAAACCCTCGAGCGGCTATGATGATGATGATGATGATGATGGCCAGGCGGAGTAGGGTGCTGCCTTTGGCCTCAACTTAATATAATGCTATTTGGTTTTTCCCCTTTTATTACTCTGTGTTCATTGCTTGTTTTTGTATTGATTTACTTCCTTGACTGCTTTTGTGTTTCATCATTTTCCGGTTGGTTTTGTGTTGATTTCCCCTGTTCACTTTACATATTGTAATGATATACATTTGCTTTGCCCGTAAAAGAGGCTTTTCTCATGATGATGATGATGATGATGATGATGATGATGATAGGGAAGGCCTCTTTTACGGGCAAAGCAAAGCACAATCATCACCATGTATCAGTACAGTGAGTAGTTAAACCCAACACGAATGAAAAATGTGAAATGGAATAAAAACAATATTTGTAAAAAATAAATAAATTAAAATTAAAATTCAATATCGAACACGAATAAAATAAAATAAACAATATGTAAAAAATAAACAATATCGAACACGGAATTAATTCCGGAACTATCTACTCAACCAATTCATAATGCAATACCCGCACACTGCGTCAGTGATGGAACTCCGCTACCCGATCAACATGCAGAGACCACTCAATCACATGCTTAGATTTAGTTAGAGGCCGCTCTCCACAATGGCCAACTCCCTCATCGCATTAACTGGACGATGGTAGGCCGAACGTGCACCGCGAATGCACATTATGGCTGCCCTGAGCAAAGCGAAGGACAAGCGACACCGCACATAGGCCATTAGCTGGGCATACGGTCGATCGGCAGTTGCCAGCAATGCACACAACCGCTTAATGAATGCAGTACACTCCGGAGCACAACAACCCGCCGTGGTAAAGACTAGAGGGGTAAATGAACCACGGTCGACATTGTTGATACGCTCGGCATACTCACTCTTCTTGCGGCGCTCATGTTGCTTCAGAAGATCACTGACGGGCTTGCTCTTGTATGATGCTGCATCCGGGTGGAAGACCCGGACATCGAAGAACGCATTCTGAGCCCGGGTCCAGAACCCACGAGCTCGGACATCAGCCCGGGCGTCGTTCGCGGTGTTTGTTGATGCCGATAAAAACACCTCGCCTGTGATCGGAGCAAGTACAGGCTCGACTGCCACATCTGAGCATACCTCCGTCAGAAGATCCGCCACGATATCTCTTACTTCATTGTGGCGAATTGTCGGGAAACCTCCGCGGGGGCAAATCATGATGATGATGATGATGATGATGATGTTGATCTCTAGCATGCATGGTCATCTTGGTATGGGGATATTCATGTATTTTGTTGTACTAATGGCCACTTGCAAGTACGAAAGGCACAATTAATTTCCCAACTTTGAGGCTCCATAAGTACAACAAAGTGAGTATGTATCCCTGAGTGGCAAAGCATAATATGAGGATTTCGCGAGCATAATGCGAGAATCCATGAAAGCATAATTCCATGATTTCGCGAGCATAATCCGCCGGAGCCTAGCGAGGGCCACCCAGAAAACGCTCTGCAGTGGGATTCGTCACTTGCTGGAAATACATAATACCATGGCGAGCTGAGCGTGGGTGTTGGCGGGCAAACGTACACGTAACGGTTGGCACTAGCCGCGACGGCAACGTGCCTAGGCCCTGGCCTAGGCTAGGCTATGGCCTTGTGCATTGTAGTGGTAGTGCCTACACATGATTGTGTCAAAAACACCGTGCAAGCAGACGACGACATGACAATACATGTCATTGGTAGTACGCAAATAAATACATGACATGATTGTACGACTAATACTAGTAATAGTGAGGTTGCACTCGTAATAATTATTGTGTTTATTTTGTCAGTACAAGAGGCTTGGTTGCGTTGAAAAAAAACCTACTATTTTAATAAATAAAAATAGGTAGCCGAGTGGTAGGCGCGGTGTAATCAACAAGAGTTACAATGTAGTTTTATTCTTCTCTTCTCTCAGGTACACACCTGGGATATAACTATTAGTGAAAGAAGAAGCGGCAAATAAATAACTTTCTCTCCGGTGCACACCTAGAGGTTGACTACTTCTTCTTCGAGTTAGCTTTGTCGTTGCTATCTAATCTAATCTAAATTAAAACAGAAATGCGCAGCCGCTTTAAAATTGCAGCAGACGCCGTACGCTTACATACGGAGATACACTAAAATTAATATACATCAGGCAAAGCTCCGTATTAGTTCCGTACTACTTCCGTATTGGTCGGGCAGGGATACTACACCATTAGTATTACGAGTCCGGAAAACCAGAAGTCGAAGTACCGGTGATCAGGTAATACCGCGTACTGGTACATGTACCCAAAACAGACCCCAAAAAACACAAAAAAAACACACACACACACACCCAGTCACACTCACAGGCCAGCAGGGCCAGTGCCGACAATGGCAGTTGTTTGGCAGCTAGCACTGACACTGGCAGATCTACTACTGGCGTAGAGTCTACTGGTGGTCTTGAATACGGGTAAACATGTATGTAAGGACGCACTGATGCAGACTGGACAGCACAGCTCAGCTCGAGCAGTGCAGTTCGCCGATTGCGACTGGCTACTACTGTACAAAAATCTAAGGCCACAACAAAAAGATTTCGTGTTTCCGGTCGGCACCCCCCGAAAAAATACGCCCGGTCGGTCGGAAAATTATTATTTTTTGGTTTGAAAGTTTATTTCCCTGCTGCATTCATAGACTAGACATGAGCCAAATTGAGAAAGTTTGGATCAGACACTGGTGATACACAATATATACATATTTACACATGGAATATGGAGTAGAATACCACCGCGGGACGCAGTAGCTGCTGCTCTCAGAAGCACATCGAATGCCGAGGGACGGTCAGGGCACGGTCGCTTGGCAGCAGGAGCTACATGTACGTCCACCAAGCGAAAATCCAGGAAACGGCATTCAAATTCGTCAACAAGGCCGACAGTTTCAGTTACCTCTACATCTTTCCACGTTCCTGCCCCACCATTGCTGCTTGCTGTAGCTGCGACAATCCACTCTAAAGACGTGACGTCCTCAGGCAAGCGAGGCTGCACTTCCTCACAAAACAACTCCTTCAAAGTGGTTTCATGGGAGACGCGAACTATCCTTTGCTGAAGAAGACACTTCGCACCCCGCCAGCACTGGACACAAAGCGGGCTGCTCTGAGCAGCCATCGTCAGCACTGGACACAAAGCGGGCTGCTCTAAGCAGCCATCGTTCTTGGCGACCTTTTCTCCAGCTCCGGAATTTTCGTCTCTGCATTCAGTCAAACTTTTATTTCGGTTCGAGCAAAGCAACACAATGCTTTCAGTGTTTTTGCTTGTTTTTCTTTGTTTTTTTGTACTTGTCGTAAACCAAAATAAATTCCATAATTTTTGAAAAAACGGACCCGGTCGGCCGACCGGAAACACGAAATCTTTTTGGTGTGGCCTAAGCGCATTGAACATACTTCTTTGAGGAGAAAGGTCTTGCATTTTCTCACTTTTGCAGGGTAGGCCAAGTCACTTGGAATGGACTCGTGACTCAGACTTACTGGGAGTTCTTACCGGTGGATGCGCCTCAGCCGCCTGGTACAATGGCTCCGAGCAAGCTATTAGCTGTTCTGATGGTGTTGTTTGCATCGTTGCAGACCAGTTTGGCGTTCACCAAACCTGGAATAAAAGACTTGAGCCTTGAACTGGTTGCTCCCGGCGATGTCTCTGTGAAGTGGATGACGCTGACACTGTCGGAGAACGCCACCATCGACTTCAAGGGCGTATGCCACTCGGTAGGTGCGGCAACAGTTCATTTGAAATACCGACTGATAACAACGCAGTGTTACCGCTATCTAGACAGATTCGACGAAAGTATGGTAGTTCAGGAAGCCTTTGACTACATGTACTTTCCCGTGTTGGGGACAGAGTGGGTGAACATCTCTCAGAATTGCAAAGCGAGTACGAGTGGTAGTGGCGAGCCGTTGTTGTTCACCGAGTTGGCTCCCGAGAGAGCCTGGCTGAAGGATACCGCATACAACAACACCTGTCTGGATCCTGTGGCCGGACTGAAAGGGAACGCCAGCAAGGCTGTGGACGACAAGTCGTCCAAGGTACCTCCAAATATGCCAGTAGCAAAGGCACCATCGTGGAAAGTGTCTACTGCACAGGTAACAGGAGTAAATACACCAGCTGTGGAAACGCCAGTCATGAAAGAGCCTGCAGTGAACCCCACAGGAACAAAGAAGCGGTCGCTAAGTGTGAGTGTGAGCGATCTGATGGAGGCCGTGCTTCAAGGGCGCACGCGGCGCAGCGCTCCGTTCTACAAGACGTTCGAGAAGGAGGTGGTGTGCACGACGACCAAGCGCCGGGTGTTTGCGCTGGTCTTCGCCGCGCAAGCTGACCCCGTGCCTAACGGTGGTGTTCTGAACGTCACCGTGGGTATAACAGTAGAGATGAAGAACCGCTGGGGATACCTGTCTGCGCTCGACTATCCCAATCTGATCTTCTACGGCATCATGACCGCCCTGTACTCGCTGTATGCATTCGGCTGGTTGCTTGCACTCATGTGCCACTACAAGGATTTGCTGCGTGTCCAGTTGTGGATTGGCGCAGTCATTGCCCTGGGTATGGTTGAGAAGGTGTTGTTCTTCAGCGAGTATTACCGTGGCAACGCCGAGGGCAGAGAGGGCATGTCGTTGCTTGTTACTGCTGAGATCGTGTCGGCGAGCAAGCGCACACTGGCCAGACTTCTCATCATCATCATCTCACTGGGCGTTGGCATCGTACGGCCACGCCTTGGTTCCAAAGTCGTCCTCGTTGCCGGCATCGGTATCGTGTACTTCATCGCCGCGTCGGTCGACGGTATTTTGCGCGCCATGGCCAGCTCCGAGGAAGTCGCCACGCCCAAGGGCAGTATGCTGTCGGTGGCAATTCTTCTGCTCGACGTCGGAATTGTCTACTTCATCTACAAGTCGATCAAGGACACAATGCGAATACTGCGCCTGCTTCAAAACACAGTCAAGCTCTCGCTCCACCGGCACTTCTCCAACGCCATCATCTTCGCCATGGTCACCTCCATGGTGTTCTGCACATGGGCGTACATGCAAATCCTCTCCTCGGCCTGCATCCGCGACTGGCAGGATATCTGGCTGCTGAATGGCTTCTGGCACATTCTCTTCAGCCTCCTGCTGCTCTTCGTGATGGTGCTGTGGAGGCCATCGGAGGACAACAGCCGCTACGCTTACTCGTCGCCCGCCGATCTCGCCAGCAAGGAGGACAAACCTGAGCAGATGTCCAGTGACGGGTTTGAGAGTATGAAGATGCGCAACCTAGGTTAGGGAGTAACGTGATATTGGTGTGTTTACTTTCCTGTGTCTTGTTGCTGGTCAGGCTTTCCTTTTGTTCCTGACGAGTCATCTTGTCTGTTCTTCGTTGCAATATTCAATACTACGCACTATAAAGCCCATTATTGTAACGAGGCGCATATGTAACGATCCCACAAAATTGACTAGTTTACGTGTACCAAAGGTAACGATTCTCACTCATTCTCAACGCTCAATAGGGCAGTATATGTATCGATTTCTGTATAACGATTTCTGTTTTAACGACAAGTTTCTCCTCGTTAACTCGTTAGAGTTAGCACTTCGTTATATAAGTATGGCTTTTACAGTGTTCAATGATCACGTAGCCTAATTTGATGATGGTACATGGTGCAGTGAACTGGTTTCAGTTCGACCTCCACCAATTGCGCTCTCTGGCCGACCTCAGAATTATGTCGTTACTCGTGAAGTGTCCGTACTCGCAAAGCCCCTTTAAAGATGTATACTGAGTATGAATCCATATTTTGTATAGTATGACATGCAAAATCAAAATGTGCTGTGCCCGTTACGTTTAGCAGTTGAAGGTCCTTGAAGCTGTTTGTATTTACACGCACGGGCTTGATCTTTGTTAATGGGTGTTTGATCAGCAGGATCGTGGAACAGGAAGGTAGAGCCTTGTTCCTGATTTATAACAGGAGCGTTGCTGCCCGTGGTCATAGTTGCAAATGACGTAGGCAGCACTGAACTGCGTGGCTGGTACTCTGTGGCGGCTGCAGTTAAAGCGGTGCATGCATTGCTGTCGATGGCATCCGTTTGCGGTGGAGTGTGTCCTGGCGACCAAGAAACGGTGCATCTTGGAGCGCTGCACGGAGATCCTGAATTTCTCTAGTCTCCTCACGCACTGACGCCAGTGACGGCGTTGCTCCTCTCAGCGACGACTGCTTGGGAGTCGGCTTTGTAGACGCTGCCAGGCTCGCTCTGCTGCTCCTGATCAGCACACTCCTTGCCAATTCCATGGCATCTGCATACTGGCCTTCAAGCTGTTTGTACTGGTTCTGGAGACCAGCATGTCCTCTGGAGTCACTGTCCACTACCGCTTCTATAAACGCAATGATGACCTTCTTGGTCTCTTCGTACGCCACCGTCAAGTGGCTTCTCCATGGCTTTACATCCTCCTGGTTCGGCACCTCATTCGTTGACTCTACTGTCAAATGTCTCCTGGTGTTCGTGAAATCCGTTTTCAGCTCTCGCTTTTTCCGCGCGAGCTCTTACAGTTTTACATCCATTATGGCTCCACGAGAACCATCCTCTGCTACCAATAGTTTGGAGTTGACAGGAGGGCATGCACATCGAAACCAAGCCCTGTCAACGACCCGTTCTTTCTCAATTTTTAATTAACGACCACTCAACTCAGCAAAGAACAAAAAAAGAACGAAGCCCAACGACACCCCAACGCTGATGTGGTCATCGCGAATCCCGTACCGTGCACGCAGGTACTGGGTTGCAACAGAAGAAGCGCTGCAAGCGTGCCAAGCAGCCAGTGAGTACAGAACGGGTACTAATGCTAGTCATGGCAACGGAAGATAAATTATGGCGATCGACCTACGCATGGTTCGATCGTGAGCAGAGTACGAAAAGGAGCAAATTCAGACTGTGCAACAGAAGCAGAAGAGGAAAACGAAATTGAATACTTGTCTTTTTCAGTGGAAGTGCTTCTGTCCAATGGTGCTAGCACCCAACGGGGTGACAGCGCCCCTAGTCAGACAATACAAGGCAAACGAAATAGAAATTAGCGGCGTCACAGCGCGGGACTCCGAAACAAAAACAAAAACGGTGAGTATATGAATATTAATTGTTTGTACCTGCGGCACAACGTAACAATTGCTCAAATTCATAGCGTAATTTCAAACTAGCACTCATAGAATTGTAGTTCGAATGTGCCACTCGAATAGTAATGACTACAAAGAGATACTCTTTTAAACACTGATGTAAGGTTACTCCCTAACCTAGATTGTGCGTGTTCATACTCCAAAACCTGTCACTGGACATCTGCTCAGGTTTTTCCTCGTTGCTGGCGAGATCGACGGATGACGAGTATGCGTAGCGGCTGTTGTCCTCCGACGGCCTCCACAGCACCATCATGAAGAGCAGCAGGAAGCTGAAGAGAATGTGCCAGAAGCCGTCCAGCAGCCAGTAATCCTGCCAGTCGCGGAAGCAGGCCGAGGAGCGGAAATGCAGGTACACCCACGTATTGAACACTACGTAGGCGACCATGGCGAAGATTATGGCGTTGGAGAAGTGCCGGAAGAGCGAGAGCTTGACTGTGTTCCGAAGCAGGCGCAGTGTTCGCATCGTGTACTTGATCGACTCATAGATGAAGGCGATAATATAGGCGTTGAGCACAAGGACCGTCAGCGCCATCACCTGTCCCTTGGTAGTGGCGACCTCGGAACTGGCCACGGCGCGCAAAATGCCCTCGACCGACGCGGCAATGAAGTACACGATACCGATGCTGACGACCTGGACAAGTTTGAAACCTAGGCGTGGCCGCACGATGCCAACGCCCAGTGAGATGAAGATGACGAGAAGTCTGGCCAGTGTGCGCTTGCCCGCCGACACCATCTCAGCAGTGACGAGCAACGACATGCCCTCTCTGCCCTCAGCGTTGCCACGGTTATACTCGCTGAAGAACAACACCTTCTCAACCATACCCAGGGCAATGACGGCGCCAATCCACAACTGGATACGCAGCAAATCCTTGTAGTGGCACATGAGTGCAAGCAGCCAGCCGAACGCGTACAGCGAGTACAGGGCGGTCATGATGCCGTAGAAGACCAGATTGGGATAGTCAAGCGCAGACAGGTATCCCCAGCGGTTCATCATCTCCACCTGCACAGCTAAAGTGACGTTAAGAACACCACCGTTGGGCACGGGGTCAGCTTGCGCGGCGAAGACCAGCGAGAACACCTGGCGCTTGGTCGTCTTGCACACCACCTCCTTCTTCACTTTCATGTAGAACGGAGCGCTGCGCTGTGTGCGAGCTTGAAGCACGGCCTCCATCAGATCGCCCACACTCATACTTAGCGGCCGCTGATTTGTTCCCGTTGGCTTCACTGCAGGCTGTTTCACGACTGGCGTTTCCACTGCTTGTGTATTTGCTCCTGCTACCTTGGCAGCAGACACTTTCCACGATGGTGCCTTTGCTGCTGGCTTATTTGGAGGTACGTTGGACGACTTGTCGGCCACAGCCTCGCTGTCGTTCCCTTTCAGTCCGGCCGCAGGATCCAGACAGGTGTTGTGGTACGCGGTATCCTCCAGCCATGCTCTCTCGGGAGCGACCTCCGTGAACTGCAACGGATCGCCACTACCGGTCGTACTTGCTTTGCAATCCAGAGGGATCTCCACCCACTCTGTCCCCACCACTGGATTGTCGCCAAAGTCTCCCTGAAGCACTATACTTTCGTCGAGTGAGTCTAAATAGTGGGCACACTGCGTTGTTATCAGTCGGTATTTCAAATGAACTGTTGCCGCACCTACCGAGTGGCATACGCCCTTGAAGTCGATGGTAGCGTTCTCCGACAGTGTCAGCGTCATCCATTTCACAGAGACATTGCCCGGATCAACCAGTTCAAGGCTCAGGTCTTTTATTCCAGGTTTGAGGAGCGCCAAGCAGATCTGCAACGATGCGGCAAACAACACCGTCAGAACAGCTAATAGCTTGCTAGGAGCCATTGTACCAGGCCGCTGAGGCGCATCCACCAGCAAGAACTCCCAGTTAGTCTGAGTCACGAGCCAACTCAAAGTGACTTGGACTACCCTGGCCTGCAAAGTGAGAAAATGCAAGGCCTTTCTCTTCAAAGAAATAATTATTATGTTCAATGCTTATATGTAAAAAGGCGACGTGGAGACAATAATCTTAATAATGCAATGAATATAACTAAATGCGCACTCATATCACAACCATAGGGACGAATAATGTATTATATATTCCAGAACGTTTTCTTGTCACAATTATCAATGGAATTCGTGACTAAAGAGAATGCTTATGTTCTATTTTTGTAGTAACAAGGCGCAATCGTACTGCACTGCTCAAGCCGAGCTGTGTTGTCCAGTCAGCATCATGAGCCATACACGTCATGCCATAGTGGTTTGGCGTGCTGCTAGCAATAGTACTTAGTAGCATGCTGTAGCCGTGTAGGCTACACTCTACACTGCAGCCTTCGATTTTTGACATCCATTGTTATTAGTATAAAATATTAGTAGTGCAGGCAATAAGTAGATCTACTCTAGCGAGGTCCTCTACCTGTCTCAGTGCTGTCAATCAACTGGCAACTACATGTACATGATCGTGTTTTTTGGTACGGTATAGGGCTTGAAAGTGCTACGTCACAGCATAGCAACAATTTAAAAAATTCAAAAACTGGATCCACTTGGATCCAGTTTTTGTATGGATCCAAGCACATTTCAAGCGGTCTTACCCACAGCATGGTGATGTAGCCAGTGAAATTGACTGATTTGGCTACTGGGCCATGGGGGCGGGGTTACAACTGGTGGCGACATGAAAGTCACACCTGCATGCGACATGAGTGGGTTGCTATGCACCCACATACTTAGGCAATAGCAAAGTCACACCTTAGTGGATCCAAAAATAGAAATCTGACATCAACTTACTACTCCCTGGCCGTTTTGATGTCATCACTTTCAAGCCCTAATAGTAATACCATGATTACTATACTGCGACTTCTGATTTTCCGTATTTTGCAGCGATTTTTGATACTACTGGGTCGTGTGCATTGCTCGTATCGTGGTTTTTTGCAAGGCACGCCGGCTGCATTCGAGTTTTTAATCGTAACCAGGATTGAGGGATGTTGCTGCAACTCATCTGACTTTTAAATTACCCCCTCCCTCTCTCCCCTCCGATGAATGGCTGCGAACACAATCATGACTTTTTCAGTGTGCAGAATGCAGATCATAGGCACGAACAGAATGAAGGAACTGTAGCGCAATGACGTAGCAGAATGATACATGACGGGGAGCAGCCAGTCTAGAACTGGGAGTAACGGTGGCACAAATTCTCATAATTGATCATTTAATATCCTAAAAAGCGCAAACTGAGGACTACAAAACAAAAGCAGTAAAACTAAATCGAATCTAGAATGTGAAAGTACGCTGTAGGCCGCTTGTACATGTACTCGTAGGTGCAGGACAACCTCTACGATATCCACATGTACATGTACATGTACATGTGTGTAAAGTCTTTACAGTGTAAAGCTCAGACTACGTGAGGAAACTCAAAAACAAATGCTCGATGATATTTTACACTGATCGGCGCAAGGGAGGAACGATCGGAATCAAAATTATACTTCTGAGGCATTGGACGTTTGACGCACCAAAATGGCACCATGATGCATAATACACTGTCTGTACGTAAAATTTACTAAAAATGAACGTTGGGGAAAGGGTTTTATGAAATGAAAAGCAAGGGAAAGCTCAAGGAATATGAAGTTTGGCTATAGAAACGGATCTCAAGTTGTATGCAATGCCAGCCCATGCTGCCATAGGTATGTGGGTGAATGAAGATCGCTGGCATAAGAGGAAGTGGCCGACAAAAGAGGCGGCAGCAGGCAGAAGTACTACTCCTACTCTATGTAACCATAAAACACAAGTCAGGGTGAACGTTGGGAGAGAGAGAGAGTGAGAGAGAGAGAGAGAGAGTGAGAGAGAGTGAGAGAGAGAGAGAGAGAGAGTGAGAGACAGAGAGAGAGAGAGAGAGAGAGAGACAGAGAGAGAGAGAGAGAGAGAGAGAGAGAGAGAGAGAGAGAGAGAGAGAGAGAGAGAGAGAGAGAGAGAGAGAGAGAGAGAGAGAGAGAGAGAGAGAGAGAGAGAGAGAGAGAGAGAGAGAGAGAGAGAGAGAAAGTGAATGAGAGAGAGAGGAAGAAAATTAATTAGAGCGTAAGATGGAGAGGTGAAGAAAGAATAGGAAGATCACTGAACACACCATCAGCTTGACTTGACGGACATGTCCATCAGCTTGACTTGACGGACATGACCATCAGCTTGACTTGACGGACATGTCCATTGTGATTTTCATGTTCCGTAGCGCTATCTACACAAGGGCAATATCCTGTACTGGATCTTCATACTCCATAGCTGTATACACACCAGGGCTACGCCCTGCATAGGATTAATGGTGCACAGCTGAAATCCACACCAGGGCTATATCCTGTACGGTATTGATGGTGCCTAGCCGTATCTACACCAGGGCTATATCCTGTACGGCATTGCTAGCATAATTATGGTAGCTGTAACTATGCAAGGGTTATATCCTGCACTGGATGTTCATGGTGCATAGCTCTATCCTGCACTGGATGTTCATGGTGCATAGCTCTTATCCCGTACTTGATCAAGTTGCTAGCACATAGCTGCACTTATACCAGTGCTATATCCTGCACTGGAGGATGCAGACCACCGTCGCCGCCGCCATCGTTACCACGGCTACACGGCGACATGTCGTCGAGCGTCTCCTCGTAGCCGGGAAAGCTCTGCGGGTAGTCGCCGACCTGAAGCGGCGGAGGGGTGCGGGCCGGCGGCGGTGGTATGATCATGCCCACGTCGCTCTGGAACTGCGTGCGATTCAGCGTGCTCATGTTGGAGCCGTGCCCGCTGACTGGGGCCATGGCGTGTGCGTTCATCTGGCCCATATACATGTTATTCTGCTGGTGGTACTGCTGCTGTACCGCCAGCGGGTAGTCGTCCAGGTTCGGGTCGTACACGCCCTGCCCGCCGATGTCCGTCGTCATCTCCATGGAAACTGGTGCGTCGGTCACGTGATGCTGGTTGTTGCTGGCCGGCGGCTCAGAGCCGCCGTTGTTCTGCAGCGGTGGAACTCCGCCGGGACGCGGCATCTTGCGCTTACGCTGCGGCGAGAACTGCACGGAATTACACAGCCACACACAGGCCAAAAGATATACTAACGTTACGCGTATCACTCAAAGATAGAGGACACGGGGACCAATATCTCAGTGAGAAAGAAGCTGTCTTCGAAAAGACTCAAGTTTCCACAAACACTGCCCAGCACCGACTGCGCAGGGCAGGAAGCTACCCAGGCAACCAACAGTCATAATCATCACTTGTGTCTCTCTCACACAGCACTACTAAATTTCGAGAGAAATGAAACAGGCTGATAACAATAGACCCATTGCGCATTTCCAAATATGGAATGAATGAGTAATGCATGTGAGTACGCTGGGATCAGGAATGCACTGTTCTACACCCCACCAAGACGACCACGCCCAGGTGGCTGTGTGGGGTGTTTGCGGTACAAATTACGTCATCGCGCAATGGGGCCATTTTATATTTTTTAATTTTATTCTTATTGTACTAGGGAATTCCCAACAGGCGTCACCGCCTTTTTACAGGGAACCCTAAGTGCATGATGCAGAACTCACCACGTTGCCATTGCAGACATCTTGCTGTGACGAATACTGGCTACAGTAGTTGACATTGTTGACACTTCCCGGCATGGAGAAACCTCGCAGGTCTGCACCACTGCCTGCCGCCGGGGACTTAACGTGCAGCATGGGGTCCCCGTTGCCGTGGTAGTGGGCCGGCGTGGGCCATGGCGATGCGTTGGAGCGCATGTCGGAGGCGGCGCGGATCATGTCCACTTGCGAGCCGCCGTTTTGACGGTGCGAGCGTTCCTTCTTCAGCTCTGCAGCGTGCGAGAAATACGGTTGAATAATATTAAAAACTACTAGTGCAGCGGGAGAAGGAGAGAGATAGAGACACAGATACATGTATATAGATGCATAGATGCATAGATAGACAGAGAGAGAGAGAGAGAGAGAGAGAGTGTGAGAGAGAGAGAGAGTGTGTGTGTGTGTGTGTGTGTGTGTGTGTGTGTGTGTGTGTGTGTGTGTGTGTGTGTGTGTGAGAGGGAGAGGGAGAGAGAGAGAGAGAGAGAGAGAGAGAGAGAGAGAGAGAGAGAGAGAGAGAGAGAGAGAGAGAGAGAGAGAGAGAGAGAGAGAGAGAGAGAGAGAGAGAGAGAGAGAGAGAGAGAGAGAGAGAGAGAGAGAGAGAGAGAGAGAGCGAGAGAGAGAGAGAGAGAGAGAGAGAGAGAGAGAGAGAGAGAGAGAGAGAGAGAGAGAGAGAGAGAGAGAGAGAGAGAGAGAGAGGAGGTAGAAAGAGAGAGAGCAAATCATCCCATAAACAATAGCTTACTTTTGGACTTCTTGCAATAGAGGCAGACGGCCAGGAGCAGGAAGAGAAGGAGTACGGCAAAGGCACCCACAATTATACCCACAAACACCAGTGCAGAGAGACCGAAGATCAGTTTACCCTCGCTGCCTTCGGATGTGTTGGAGTTCGGTGGTGTGGTGGCGGCAAGTGTGCTGGTTAGAACCGCATTGGAGAGAGTGGTTGTTTGCGGTCGGGACGGGTCAAACACCGTCGGTACAAAGCCTGCAGGTTGAGAAAGAGTACAGAATGAAACACATGGTATTGTGCTTGACAAGTACCAGCTCGAGCCACCAAAGGCTGGCGACTTGTCAACATTGAGAATGCAGTTGTTTTGCCGAAAAAGACCTGTAAAATTATAAACAGGCTTCCAATTACACCTTCACAAGCCTAAGCTGGCTTTCAAAGGCAATATTCTTTGCAGCTGTAAGCCATTCTTGGTCGGGAGTTTCAGACATTGCTTCATAGCTGGCAGCCCAGGTTGTGACATGACGCGGTGATGATGTTGCACTTTCGCCATGACCGCCTATGTAATGTTGTCATCCCACAGATCATTTCTGTCCAAAGGACGTTTTGCACAGAAGCAAGTTTGTAGTGGATTCGGTGATCAGCCGCAGTCCAGTCACTCTGACTGAGACTTTAAAACGCTTTCAAAACGAAAATATTCACTTTTCTCCCGTTTCTGTACCTCCTAACCATTTTAGTAGCGCAAATTTGAAACCCCGCTGAGTTCACCAGGCCGCAGACTCGCAGTGCATGCCTCGTACGGTATGACTCAGGTCCTCCAGAAAAATTGACGTAAACGAAAACTCCGGCTTGGGTCAAACTGTCCATGTACTGTCGGTATCACTAACCTTTCTCAAACGTTCTGATGACTTCCTCTTCCGTGCTCGCTCCCTCATCGGCTGAGTTAGCAGCAGCTACATGCACGGAGTACACAGTGTCTGGGTCCAAGTGTTCAACCTGTATTCCAAATACATACACCCACCCAGTCACGCACAGAAACACACGAACACACACACACACTCACGCGCCCACGTACAACAATACACACGCACAAGCACACATGCACGTACACACACACACAGGCACAGAAATGTCATCAATATGTGCTATGCTGCACTCCACAAATATATCACACACCCATACAAGATCACCCGAAAACCTGACAAAAGCATAAAGTGTACATATGTGGCCAGAAAACAAATGCGTAGGAAGCAAACATAGAAACTCCAATGTCAAGCCAATAGTGATATGTAAAGAGATTGTGCCTTGTTGTCGCACTATCTGACTGTATAATTATCTCGTTACCTTGGTTACCTTCGTGGACTGACTGTCATAACTACTAACTTATAGGTCTTTTTCTCTTTACAAACAAACGTGGATGTAGAATACGGGATTGGTATGATGAATTAGGGCACGACACATTCTGTGAAGATGCCGGAGTTCGGGGGTACCGGTCCAACCTGTGACAAATCCACGGGCTGCACCATCTCCCAGCAGCTGACTCTAGGCCAATTTACCTTCCACTGCACAGTCCGCACAATGTGCATATTTCCTTATTTCATTTTTTTACTATCATTCACAAACCCAACTCGTAAATAAATAATTATTATGTGGACAAAAACAAACAGCACGCCAACTAATGTTCAGATGCGAGTCGTCGGGTTTGACGTTATGCTTGCACCGGGTACTGAATTAGGCGTGTACGTGTGTTTGCGCGCGTACGTGTGTGTGCCCTGAAGCCACGATCCCGAGTTTAAGAGTCTCATGCTCTACCAACTGAGCAGCGACAGCACACGGATGGAGAATCTGGGGATAGTGGTGCTGGAGAAGGAAATTCGGACTCACCACAAATGACCGGCTGGTTCCCGGTGCCCGGTACGGTCGAGCCAGGCTGCCCACATCGTGATACTTGCGTACATACACTATGTACTCGGTAACGCGGAACACCACAAGCGACACCATCGCCTCCTGGATCGCAAATTCATTAAAAATGCACAGAAGAACACACAAAGGCGTTGTCCGGGTTTGCTAACTCCATCATAGTCACATCCTAAGTCAGTTCATCAGTATTCTCCATGTAGTGATTTTACTGCTGCATAGAACCCCTTGTAAATAGATATCTATACCATTCGGATCACTGTCAACATCGGGGTGTTTTCACAATACGGTAAGAATTTTCGGGCAAGGCCCATCTTCAGGAATGCCTGAAGATGGGCCTTGCCCGAAAATTCGAATAATTTAATATCTCTTTTTCTTTACGTGATTGGTGTAGGCCAGAGACCGTTTGGAGAGTGTTGTGAAGATGTATGGATAGAGTGTAGTGTTGAAACGAGCGTATCTATAACAAACGAGCGATCAGTTCCACTAACGAGCAAGCTATCGAGCGAGCTAACGAGTTTCATCAAGAGTCCATAACCCGGTTATGGACGCTTGGTTTCATTGATGTGGCAAATTATTATGATTATTCTTTTGAAAATTTTTTTTCTAAGTTCGATTTTTTCAGCTGGTTCAAATTATCACCGCCGGCATTTGGGGTTGCTGCTGCTTCACTTCGGACTGCTGTTTGGTGTCGAGATGTCTTTTCAGCGCCGTCGTCGATTAGCCTTTGTAAGAATAGACCGTTTTGCAAAGATTGCAAGTAGCCCTGGTCTTCGCTGCATCGCGGGAGAAAACTTCCAAACGACTGAGCGTAACTTTCACTCGAATGGAGAGGTGACCGAAGCATATCCTTCGACAGGTCAGCAGATGCGGAACAAGACATCAGTAGAGTCCACCAAAGCTGCAACGACAACTGAAACAACTCAAGTGTCGTGCAGGCATACAGTCACCTGTAACTGCGAGTGATTTTCACTTTGCGCGGGATCGGGACTGGACTCTCGATCGATCGACCAGGGAGTCGTAAAATATTTTTACGACTCCCCGGTCGACATGTACTGCCATGTGTACGGAGTACGGTGTACGGTGTTCGTTAGTGCAAACGAGCTGGCCGCACAAACGAGCCGAGTTTCTGGCGAGCGAGCTAACGAGTATCCGGTGAGATCGTTTCAACACTAATAGAGTGGATGGCTACAGTGGAGTCTTCGCGTTTTGAGAAATACGGTAAGAAGCACAAGGATATGACGTTTGGGAATTTGAAAAGCACCACAGCAACCTATCACCGGCAAACACTTCAAATAGGAAAGGCCAGCCCTCGTTCACACACCGTCATGATGTGACCCATAGATGCAGGGGCTGAGTGGAGTTGGAACAAACATGGCTGTCCCGTATTGTCATGTGACCAAACTTGCGCTGAAAGTGATCCCGTCATGTGGACAGTTGAACCAACATGGCAGATATCATGTGACCCATGGATGCAAGGGTTGAGTGGAGTTGTAACAAACATGGCTGTCCCTTGTGATCATGTAATAGATGTGAAACCACTCGATGGGAATACCGTCACAAAGTAAAATCCATTAGCTTACGGTCCAGGAGACGTTGATGCGCGTGTCATCTAGTACAGCGATGGACACGTTGCGCGGGATGCCATCCGGAGCTGAAAAATGATCAGACCGAGGCCAACAGGCAAGCACGCGCACAGACCCCCCCCCCCCCCCCGACACACACACAGACATACACATACAAACAAACAAACCAGTGAAGAGACCCATAAGGAAACAGTTATACGCATAACAGCACAAAGCCTGTGGGAACCCAACTTTCCCGAGCACTGATCATGTACGGGAATCAAAATATTCCAGGAACAATAATGATCAGACAGCTTAACCCTCTCAGTGCCACGGGCGACTTTAGTCGCCCAGACTGAGTATGTGAGTACAAATAAATTCGTATCTCCACTTCTACACACAGGAGAGTTACAAACGACCACTCTACGTCTTCAGGAAGACCTTGGCTATCGACTCATCACATCGCTTTGTGTCCGTGAGGATAGATATCGCCAGGGCGAAGCCTGAAGCGCGCGCGCTCGGACAAACAATTGTCGCGTGTAGAGAACATGACGTATGCGCATCGCGGGTTTCTCTATTTCTTTCGCGGCAACCCATGCGTATTGGGTATCAAAACATCGAGATTTTCAGTGGCTTTCAGGCCAACTTTGTCCGAATTTCGTGCGTTGAAATTTGACTGCACTGCGATCGATCGCGCGCGTGAGAAAGTGCAGATGCTACGAAAATGCAGAAAACGGACTTCGCTCAGGCGCCCCTCGCGAGGAAGACTATTTTCGCTGCATATTCTCTTCACAGCTGTCTGCCTGGCCATGATATCTTTCCAGAGAGCCATCGTTTGTAAAGATCCGTGGATATACAGCTGAGCTATGAAAAATTTGAGTTCAGCTCAACTCGGAAAAATTTGAATTCTTCTGACCCCCTTGGCACTGAAAGGGTTAACAAGCAGTCTACCCAGCTGGCCATCCCCCAGCAGGATAGTCCTGCGTAGGACAAGGACATCCGTGTACATTTCATACGTTAGAAAGTGTGTGTGTGTGTGTGTGTGTGTGTGTGTATGTGTGTGTGTGCGCGTGTGTGTATGTGTGTGTGTGTGTGTGTGTGTGTGTGTGTGTGTGTGTGTGTGTGTGTGTGTGTGTGTGTATGTGTATGTCACACACGTGTCCCATATGCAGTGTTGCCACATCATTCTAGCCAAATATCAGTAGCATGACAAAATAAAATGCATCATCCGGGGGCTTTGCCCCCGCCCCCCCCCCCCCCCCCCATAGCGACCTCGATACACACACATGCAGCACTGATAAGAAAAAAACATTAATGGTTTTGCGTGACACTCAGGCTGAGTTTGCCGATTTTCCCCGAGACGGATGATGATTTCGCTCAGCGCCTCAGGAGAGAGCTATGGAAACACTCGTGATGCGCAGTAAAAGTCAAAAATCTGGATCACGACTCCTAAACCATGCATAAGGTCAAACTTGAACACTTTCATGGCTGTTGTCGGCAGGAGAAGGTCAATTGTCTGCAGGTCGTGACATGCCTCAAAAATCGGCAGGCTACTGATATGTCGGCAGGTGTGGCAACACAGCATATGGTCCAGTGGTATGAGCAGTCGATTTCCAATCGAGAGGTTGCGGGTTCAATTCCCGACGATTATGGTCGCACATGTCTTTCTTCTCTTTCTCATTCTCCTAGCTCTTCTTTCATTCTCCTGGGCGGTCACCAACAGCCAGTGTATGCCGGAGTATGCGGTGTGTCGTGTGTTTGTAAAAAAAATGGAAAAAGTGGAAAAATAAAAAAATTGGGATTCATTGGCCAGAAAAAGCCACTTCAATCATCTGCGTAGTGGATACCAGGCTAAAATTAGTGGCGGTCGATTCATCAGCCTTGCAAGCTGTTGAATGGTGTAATCCCAGCACAAGTTGCCATGTCTAACATAGCTGTTCGCCATCATCGCTTCCGCGATGGGCAGGTCTGGGTCTGAGTATGTGTATGTGTATCTATGCATGCCCTGCTTTGGTGCAGTGCTTAGGGTGGGCAACCCGAAAGGGGCAGTACACCCTGTTTGCCGTATTGATCCAGCTAGGGAGTATGAGCAATGAGTGGCATAAGCATGGTGAGGCTATACAGCTGCAAGCAGCTGCAGTAAGACCGGGTTTAAGCAAAAGCGGTCGTTAAAGCCAGGTGGTCTTTAGAACCAGGTCCCACAGTGTCTGCGTAGAACCGTCGGTGCACGGAAAGACGGTCATTAAGAGCAGGTGATTGCTAAACCCAGAGGTCGCTTACACCAGGTTTCACTGTACCAATGCACCGGCAGTAGTGGGGCAAGCGAGATTGCACTGAGTGTTTAACCCATTCAGCGCTACTGGGCCTTGCCTATGGTACTCTGCATATAAAATGCTAAAAACAGGGCCAATAGCAAGTTCTAAAACTCCAGGGTTCTGGCAACTGGGGTCCTCAAATATTTTGGAAATGATTGCCAAGACTATCAACCACAGGGTGACAGAATCGATACAGTCCCCAAAAAGAATAGTGCATCACAATAGGGGACGCAAGTTTGCTCAAATTGCGTGAAATACGCCAAATGCGTGAAATTGCAGCTGAAAGATCGCTGAAAAGAGACGAAAAAAAGACGCGTAGTGTTTCCGAGCGGGATTCGTACCAACGACCTATCGTACAAGAGGCAGGATCATGATCCAACTGACTAACAGTGCTTTTACACACCAGACAGTGCCAGAAATCACTATAATATCCCATGACGTCTATAGACGTCATCCCGCGCTTGGGGGGCATTTTCAATGACGTCTATAGACGTCATCAGCGTTCAATGGGTTAAAGACTTACCGGCTTGCACTGGTGGAAGAGTAGATACCAGCGGAATGGCTGAAAGAAGCAAACGCAAACACAGACACATGGCCAACCGGGCACATGCACAAAGGCATACGCACAGGCACATATCAATACACCAGCGCACGCACAGACACGGATGCACACACACAGACACACATGTGCACGTAAGACACAAGCACAAGCACACACATACACACACACACATGTGTACACACACACGTGTACACACAAAAGAATCACATTATCCGAGGCAACTCCGAGTTTCATATCCGTGTGATCACCAGACAATAAACACACACCACTTTACAGAGTCTAAATGCAAGCACTCGGGATCACGCACCCCACACAATCTTCACTTTACTGGGTAACCATGGAATTATTCTTACTGGATTGAATGGATGCCGGCATCATGGATGGTGGGCTTGTGCTGCGTTCTGGGATAGCCAAGCAAAACAGGACCCATACATTACCAATCAGTGTGCTGAAAGCAGTAACAGATGACCATGACCTATAGATCACATTACCTATACATTGCATAACATAAGTATACATCACATTTCATAATTATACACCACATGACCCATAGATCCCATGATCAATAGATCACATGACCTATACATCACATGACCCATACATCACATGACATAATTATACATCACATGACCTGCATATCACATGACCCATATATCACGTGACCTATATATCAAAGCAGGCAGGCACTCACCGCTGACGGTTAGATTTGTTGTGTGAAAGCTGAGAAGGGAATTATTGCGCAACTGACACTGCAGCAAGCCTGTGTCGTTGAGTTCCAGGTCTGTGAAGTACAGCGTTCCGTTCCTTAGAAAGTTCACTCGACCACCGTCCAATGGAGGGTCAACATAGAAATGGAACATGCCACCTGGAGTAAAAACGGACAACAAAGCGTTTACAAAGAATCTTCGAGGAGACAATGTTTAAATTAAGCTATGAATATGACTACATATCGAACAAGTTACTTAGTTGCGTAATGATGCCTTCGGCCTTCATTTTATTCATAGCGTTAACAAAGCGTTTCGAGGGAGCTTAGTGAGAGGAAGAAGGCTATTTAATAATTGACATCTTCCTTCTTTGTCCCTGGCTAATGCAGTAACAATCGGAGATGGAGAGGGAACGGGAAAGAGGAAGAGGGAGAAAGAGGGAAGAGAGAGAGAGAGAGAGAGAGAGAGAGAGAGAGAGAGAGAGAGAGAGAGAGAGAGAGAGAGAGAGAAAAAGAGAGAGAGAGAGAGAGAGAGAGAGAGAGAGAGAGAGAGAGAGAGAGAGAGAGAGAGAGAGAGAGAGAGAGAGAGAGAGAGAGAGAGAGAGAGAGAGAGAGAGAGAGATAGAGAGAGAAAGAAAGAGAGAGAGAGAGAGAGAGAGAGAGAGAGAGAGAGAGAGAGAGAGAGAGAGAGAGAGAGAGTAAGCAGTGAGGTAACACCATATTACAGTACTGTCGGGCGACAAAGAACGACCAGGCTAGGATTTCACCAAGCACAGCATACCCATGCATACACGGTGACTTAAAGGGGAAGTCCGGTGAAAAATATAAATTTCACAGTCCGTAGAGTTCGGGTCGCTGAGTCGAATGGTCTTTGTCCGAGGATGCTGCGGTTTATGGTTCGTCAGATACGCCCAATCGAACATGTGCGAATTTGAGCGCGCATCACCCAGATCCAGGTGATGACGTCACAGCGTGCAGCCAGGTAGCCACACCATCTAGGTGTGTACAAAAATGGCCATATTCGGAGCGCGTTCGATTGGGGAACCGTTTGTCGCAGCTTCTTCGGACCAAGACCATTCAATTCAGTGTTACAAACACTACGTACTTTGTGATTTTAAGCTCGGTAACCCTCGAGGTTATACCGTATTTTAGCCGTTTCCGAGTTGGACTTTTTCCGTCAGCCTCTACGCGCTGCGTGCATGCAGTGCGTGCAGTGTGTTATCTAGCAGTAGTGCAGTCAACAAACTCATCACAGACGGAACTACTCCCGCATTGGACCCGCACTGCCGTGCTGGGGTAGTATCTACAACAAGACTCGAGTCACAACTGGCACAAGACTCAGAAAACTAGTCAACACACGGACTTGTCATGTACTACACTCATATCAGTCGTATTATTATGATGTAGTCAGAGAACGTGCGTTTCTCCTTGCCGGTACGCGGTGCCGGTGATTGTACTTTGAGACAGAAATGTTTAGTTTTCCGCTCCCGCCTCATTATTTTATGCTACAGCGATGAGTGCACAACCGTGACAAGTGACAAAACAGCGAACAGCTCCCGGACCTAGAACTTTCAGATTCCATAGCGTTGCGAGCGAAGAGTCGTGCCCGTGGTTCAAAGAGCCTGCACTGTTCTCCAATTGAGTAGTCCGAAATATTCCAAGTTCGCACCAAAACATCACCATGTGGCAGGCTACTGCCTAGCACTGGAGTCTAAGCGAATCTAATCGGTATGGAACAACATTTAGAGCACTCGCATCACTCTTCTCCATTTTGGCGACCCTGCTCTCCAGCGATCTGATAATTACATCAGCCTCGTCTGCAATATGAGCTGCTGCTTCTTCATCAGTCGGAAACTCAGTAGCGCTCACTCTTGACGGGCCCGCGCGGCCATTTCTTCAGCTCAATACCGAGATTCTCAGCCCCAGACCGAACTCATGAAGGTCAGCCATGGCTGCATGCTCACTCTCACAAGGAGTTACAGGTCTTCGGGGTCGCTTGCATCACCTAATATCAGTCGCCAAATCACTTGAAATAGCACTGACACTATTGCTTTCACGCACTCCTTTTGACCTAGCTGCACGCTATGACGTTGCAGAGGGTGTGGCGCGGCCGCATGACGTCATGGCGCAGCCCCCGAAACTCAGTTTTTCAAACGGAAATATCTCGAGAACGCTTTGTCGGAGACACGTGGGACCAACACCATTCGACTCAGCGCCCGAAACTCTACCGACCCTGAAATTTAAATTTTTCACCGGACTTCCCCTTTAACTGTGCACACAGACTGTAGTATATGACCATACAAACGGCCATGGCTAGGAGGCTGACCCCCTGTTCTTCAACACCCGACAGTACGGTATACAGAAGTGGGGGGGGGGGGGGGACGACTCTACAGTCTGCGTTCGCTTGGCTGTACTTACTCGGTTTAACTTGCCAGAGGGTCACGGCACCCGGGAAGTTCAGACTACAGTGGAGCATGAGACTGTCGCCGACAAAGGCCTGTACCGCCTTAGGCGGTAAGCTTGCCGTTGTAGCGACGACATCACTCGGAGAGGCAAGGACTGCATACAACACGGCCAAATCACACACACACACACACAGTCCACAACAATGCATTCACAATTAACGCTCCAAATTTGGCAATTATATAGACACATAACGAGAAAACCGTTCTGAACACTTCTTCTTCTTTTTACATGTACATTTTACATTCACATTGCTCTCGCATGTTTGTTACTATTGTAATAAAGTATGTCGACCGCCGAGTTAATACACTTGATTGCCATCTTAAAGTTGCTGTCTCCGAAACGCTTGTTTTCATATAAACAGAGTGATAAAACATATGGAAAGGGCTCAGGCCCTGATACGTGGAAGGGATAATAATTGTCAATATTGCACATGAGTTGAGCATGTGTTCTAATACATGTACAAGTAATGCAAAACAATTAAACAAACAAATGAGCAATAACTGCAGGATTGGTCACAGGTCCTAAATCATGCAAGGGATAATGATCAACCTTGCGAGTTCGACTCAAAACGAGTTTTCTCCCGAATTTGAATGATACAGAGCAGATCCATATGTATTTTCTGTGAGTGTTGCACATTCTAAAGACCCTCTTCTCCGTGTAACAATCTGTGCCTAGGACACGTGCAAGCGTGAGTTCTAACCCAGGCAGCTCCTTTTGACGTGCTTTCTCTAAGTTTCAAGTCGAGCAGAATCTCTCTAGAATAATGCAGCTTCTACACTTGAATCATCATACAAAGTTATTACAAACGACATGACAACAAACAACATTGTAGTAAAGAGAAAAGGACCAATAAACTACAAGTTACGTTTTAATAGAGAGGTTCCGCACTACGTAAAAGTTGAGCAACTTTACGTTAGTGGGCGGGAAAAACTTGTGAATTCGCAAGTTTGCACTCCACTTATGGAAAGTTGTCTACGGAGAGTACGTAGATAGGGCTCTGATAACGTAGCTGGTCCGTAAGTGGATTGGGGTACAAATTTATGACTCTCCCCAGGTCGATCTGGTCGTACACTGCCGCGTTCGGATTTGCCAAGGGCAGCTACGTGATTTGAAAACTATGTATGGCGGTACCCAGATGCGCATGCAGTTTACATAAGACGTTCCATAGATCGACTATGTTTTTTAATAGCGTAATTACGTTATGCGGAACTTCTCTAATGTCCACTAACACCACCGGTTACTAAACAATCAGCTCATGCGATAACATTTCACGACGCTGACTGACGGTACTGACGTTCTACAACTAACTGGCTAACAGGGCTAGCACATCTTGGATGCGCACTCCAACGGCATTCCAACTTGGAAGGTTCTAAGTTATATGATAACATTAGGATGGGAACGTCAGCACCGTCGGTCAGTGTCGTGCAATGTCATCGCATGAGCTGGTTGTTTAGTAACTGGTGGTGTTAGTGGACATTATAGTGTAATTTGTAGTTTCTTGGTCCTTTTTCTTTACTATAAAATTATCCTTCGTTCTCCATCCGCGTCCATGACAACATTGTCATAATCATTATGGATATCGGACATGCATTCAAGGAAGGCGCCTAAAAGTCTCTCTGCGATCGAGATTGGGAGCAAGCCACAGTGAGGATGTTGCGGCCTATGGAGGTACATGTATGTAGTAGAGAAGTAGTTTCATCATATACATTAACAATGTGTAACCATGTACAGGGATAATGCCAAAACATGAAACTTCAATGGCTATGTAAACAGGTCGATCTCAGATCACCGCAACAATGATGTGCATGTAGGAAGAGTGAGCTGAACAATGTGTTGAACTCAAGGACTGCTGCGGAGGAATCGTGTACAAGCAACAATCGAATCATTCAATCATCAATGCTGTTCCGCCACTTGCGCACTGCACTTCAGAGTGCAGTCCAAAAGGTCTGCACGCACACACACACACCACGCAGTGTGCCGAGTACTGTGTAAAAAACACGGTGCACACCTTCCGCGTTGCAGTTCGCTTGACTGCGCACTTTCCACTTTCGACCATGCGTACAATGAACTCCAAGCAATACAATGCCAATGTAATCCTGAGTGATGGCGATGGAGAGACCTGGGTCAGTCCCAGAGTCAGACCAGGCCACGACACACACACACAGCTTGCAGCTTAGGGTGAATGCTTCGTTCAGGACCATCAAGCAGGGCTTATACTCGCACTCAGTGTGCCCAGTTGGCTAAATCAAGGTACATTCATTTCACGAGTGCAATCTTCCTTGCGACGAATCGATCATGGAGTCGATCAATATTTGACGGCACAACAATGGAGGTGCTAAATCCGTCCCAAGAATACAGCATTCCTCCACAAACAGGGAGCATTATCTCCCCCATCCACCCGCTGCATGTTTCAAACACACCGAGCTCCGGAGCAAGCTGAGGCCTTTTACGCTCATGCTCAGCGCATTCGCAAGGAAGCTAGCAATGACTGCTACTGGTATGTTAGATACGTACATGTAGATCTACTGTAGATTGTGTTGGAGGACAACACAATCGTTGAACTACAAATACAAAAGACCTAAAGACATGATACAGTGCATTCCGCGAGACGTCAAGCTGCGCTTGGGGCTCGATTGAAACAAGTGCGCTAATAATGAAATAATTGCCACGAGCCCTCACACGAAACACTCGAGGAGACAAAACGACCACTTCCAGTGATGAAGTGGAGAACACTGAAGCCATTATGTCCAGCCAGCACAAACCAGATGCAGGCATGTAGCGCATTTCACAACAAATTACCCAGCAGGGAATCAATGACACCAGAAACGGCCTGGAATAGGCGAAACGTCCAAAGAGTGAAATAGGAGGGAGAGCACTTACTTGAAATTAGAGACAGTATCAGAATAGCTTTGCTGCCGGTGCGACGATGAACACCACCACCACCACCAGTGGCTGCTGCTACGCTGCTGCAGTAGCGCATCCTGTCAGAGGTCATGTCGAAAGCTGGCAATTCAAACGTTTACCGGGCCAGCCAACTACTTCCTCGCCGAAAAACAGCGGGCACTCTCTATTGTTTCAGAGGAAGCGTCTGTTCCGACACGCTACAAATTTGCTTGCAGGCTAATGAGAAACCGTTGACGGACTTCAGCAGGATGAAATAATTCAACACAGAAATTCTATTCGCTCCGGCAGCGACAACAACTAACGCCTTGCGCCGCTCAAGGAGAGGAAGATTCTGAGTGAGATGTGGTCTGCACATCTGAGTACGACAGCAGATCCTCATCCGTGTGACGAGAAATCAGACGAGCTTTGTGTTCGATGCCTGCACGCTCGCGAGGTTGTCCTACGCAGTCAACTGCCTTCTCGGGCCGTGTACATGCAGCAGGACACGGTCAAGGCGCGGGCAAGGGCGTGAAGTAGCGCAGCCGTTGCCTTCACTCCTTCAGCTGATCATAGACGCACCGCCACAGGCACAGGCACAGGAGATCGAGAGTCTCTCAGAGGTTGGAAGTGTACAAAATCGCGCTCGGATGCTCCTGGTTGAAACTGGCAAGTACTGCACTGGTACCGTCACGCTTCAACTCACTAGTAGATCTACTGTACATGTACTGACCAGAGTAGTCTGTAGCCTTGTGTAGACAGTAGAGTGTAGATCAACGGTAACAAATTAACAATCGTTATTCATGTGGCATTCATCAAAGACATTTTTGCTACTCGACGTAGATCATACTTCACAGAGTCTGTGCAACTGCATCCTCATGTCCTGTCAGATCAGCGCAAGGGCAGGCAAGGAAGAGGAAATATTATTACTAGTTTCCTATCCTCAAAGCTGTCGCAATCAGACTTGTGAAGTCACTGAAGAAGCGTGTTCATGGAGTGCCGTATCATGTCAGCGCACCGGGAGACGTAAAAGGCAAGTGGGAAAGGAGCCATACTGTAAATTTCAAGTGTAACAGTAATAGTACTAATAGTAATACCAGTACACAGGTCTGGCTACTAGTACTACCTGTAGACGTAGTCATGTCACCTCTGCTCATCTATTGTAGCTGTTTGTGCTAGTGTAGTACGTAGTGGTCTGTTGCTACACAATCTGGAAGCGGTATTATCGCATCAGTGATCATGATTATGATCGACCATGCGCCAGAAATACATTGTAGAAGAAACTAAAAATGCCAGACCCACTGCACTGCTCGACCCTCTGCGCTCAGGCCTTGGCTTCAGTTCACTCAGATCAGATCTTCACATTAGGCTGATGGCATTGTTTAGACGCTGTGGCAGGAGACCTGACGAACATGTCGTTACATACATTCAGCTGCCTACTACACTGACTGTAGTCCTTCCCTCAGTACACCAGTGAATGCCATAAGCATTCATGTTCTTAGCATTGACAATGACAGACTGTGTACTACAGTGCTGTACACTGCTTTGATCGAAGAGGCTTGAGTTTGAGCCACAGCCAGTTGCCGTGATTCATCTGTAAAAATGTCGCATATGTGCCTTGTTTTAATATATCCCTTTGGAGACCGGTGCGTACGCACAGTATAATAGTATTAATACTGGACAGCAGCCAGAAATGCCTTCAGGATTGGATGGTCCCTGATGTGCTCAAACATATCCATAGGGAATGCCGTTTTCGATGCTGACATTCTTGAAACCTAGCATTGTCGACAAGAGAATGTTGACACGGCAGCAGGCCTGGATCATCTGCATGTCATGCGTATAACACCAAACCCTGCAGTCAACGCGTCAGTCAAAGCAAGGAACAGCCGCCACCAACCAGCACTGCTTGCGGACACTGGCAGACAGCCATCAGTCCGCATGGGACCGTTGCCAGTCCCTACTGCTGTCAAAACTCCTGTCAGAGGCACCGTTATTCGAGACCATCCCACGTGGCAAATAACGTCGTGTCATTCAATTTTCTGTTTTGCTTCGATGATCGTCTACAGCTGGAGGCAGAGCACACTGGAATGGCAATATGGAGGCGCTCTAGCATTGAATATAAAATATTGTAGAAGATTGTATGTCTCTTCATTGCTTATCTCATTTTGCTCTGTGGCGCATGTCGTTCCGTGGAGGCGAACACCTAACGTTGACGTCCTAAAATGCGCACAGTCACTCCATAGCGATCAGGGTGAATTTGTGGAGTGATTTGACTCCTACAAGGTCACATTCGACGATGTATAATTAATTTTGACTAGCGACGGGAATGGCACGGGAGGCTCGCTCATGACGCCGATTGATGACGGGGCGCTTGGAATGATGTGATCGCCACTTCGCCAGGAACGGCAGCGCATTCGCAACCGACGTTCTACCATACAAATCGCCAAATCGGGAAGCGACGAAGGAGAAACGAGTTTACTGTTACGTTTCATACCCTATCATAGTATGATGACGGGGCATGTGGTGACATTGGAAAAAGAATGTAGAAGAATAAGAAATTGACGACTGTAATGCCTACTAATGTTCTACAGCAGTACAGGGTTCTCGTCAAAGGGACATACATGTACTGATGTAGTGGGGCGCTGCGCCCTCCTGCACTTGTTGACCGCCCCTTTCAAACAATACATTCAAATGGATACGCCACCCTTCTTCAGACTGGGCTACTAGTAGTAGTACTACTACTAGTGCGAGCGCCACATTTTTTGCATTTACATGTACATGTACATGTACATGTATAAACAGATACAATGTACAATCATGTACGTGATGTGTACCGATGTACATTTTTTTTTCACGTCTACATGACTTTATTTTGCCCGTAAAAGAGGCCGTTATACCCCACAAAAAAAAAAAAATGTACATGTACATTGTACATCGGTACACATCATGTACATGACGATTGTACAGTGCTGGCAACTGAAATCCGACCCCCTAGCGTCTCGTACGAATCGCTAAAGCGGCTAGCGCACCGCTAGGGGGGTCGGATTTCAGGTGCCAGCACTGTACATGACTGTACTGTAGTAGCACAGCATTATGGCGGTGAAAACCACAAAAATATTATGTTGGGTCAGATGATCCCCCCATCACGTTTGCTCTCGATAAAACCATTATTTTTGTCTACTGACTAGAGTCCTGCGCTGACGCTGTACACCACTGAGTGTGTCTGTTTCATGTCACTCTGCGCATTCGTATCGCACTTCGGAGCCTGCACACTGCAGACTGCACAGGTGCACGCATTGCCGGAGTCTGATGAGCGTCTGCTACGGGTAAGAGCGAGGGATGGGTCTTGTCCGGTTGTAGCCCCCACACCTGCTCATGCGTGTAGCCCTTTTGATTGATTTACGTTTCCTTGCACATTGTGAAATGTTTTCGGTGAAAACCTAATGTACTGTACTACTGTCGTGGACATAGCAATCCGGTCGCACGTCTAGCGGCCCCAGGCCAGGGCGCTGGTCATGCAGCCGTATACGGGTAGCAGCTGCTCCTGGTCGCATCGGATCAACATGACTGTGCACTACATACAACGACTATTTATAACAGCGAACCTTACGAAGTAACGTAACGTTCTGGACGCGCTGAGGGCGCCGGCCCCGGTCAATCGACTGGATTTCCATGTCCGCGACAGTACAATCATGTACATGTACATGTAGATCTACGATAGATGGATTTTCTTTTCTTTTCACTTTCAGCTGTCATTTGCCCTGATCATGCCTCATGCGTGTTTCACAGCATAGTACGTTTGCGCTCATTTTCTTCTTCAACACACGCTAGCTGTATTACTTTGTTCTTGCCCGTACAAGAGGCTTTTCCACGCGTAGTTCTACAATGTACAAGAGTTTAGTATTTGTACATGTACATGTACATATACATGTACATGTACATGTACATGTATATGTACATGTACGTTCTGAGGAACGTGGCCGCACCTGCACAAGGTCTCAAGTCTCGCTTGGACTTGGTTTTTTTTGCCACGAGTAGGCATTGGCGGATAATGCTCGAATAGGTGGCAGATTCTGCTCGAAAAGCAGTGAAATTGGCAGAACCATACAAACCTTATGGCGGGCAGTTCCTCGAATTCTGCCCCATTTCTTTACAAGTACATGTATCAACATACCAAACATGGTTGATAAATATGGTGGTAAAGACACACCTGGCAATATGGCGGTAAACACACGCCTGCCCACACACGCTCTCTAGGCTGCAAGGTTCTGGCACAGAGCTCTCCTTCTCACCACCACCACCATCAGTTCGCGCCTGGCGCCTGGTCGATGCATGGCTGGCGGTATCCGGCATAGCAGGCTGGTACATCAAGTAGCGCATGGCACATAGATGATGACACAGCAACGACATAGCTCGATTGCGACGTACGTTTCGTCCCCGCTGGACTCATCAGGCAATCTTCTTCTTGGATGTCTTCATACGGAGCTTGACTCGGGAGAATGAAGTTGAAGACACCGCTGCAGCTGTACTTATGGTTGATAAATATTGCCATATTGCCAGGTGTGTCTTTACCACCATATTTATCAACCATAAGTACAGCTGCAGTGGTGTCTTCGACTTCATTCTCCCGAGTCAAGCTCCGTATGAAGACATCCAAGAAGAAGATTGCCTCATGAGTCCAGCGGGGACGAAACGTACGTCGCAATCGAGCTATGTCGTTGCTGTGTCATCATCTATGTGCCATGCGCTACTTGATGTACCAGCCTGCTATGCCGAACTGATGGTGGTGGTGGTGAGAAGGAGAGCTCTGTGCCAGAACCTTGCAGCCTAGAGAGCGTGTGTGGGCAGGCGTGTGTTTACCGCCATATTGCCAGGTGTGTCTTTACCACCATATTTATCAACCATAAGTACAGCTGCAGTGGTGTCTTCGACTTCATTATACCAAACATGCATGAAACTAATACAATGTATTATGTCATGTACTTACCAGAAAAAGTACCGAATTCTGCCAATTTTTCTGCCGGCATTACCCGTAGATGCCCAGCCACGAGCCTCCTCTCGATGTGGTTATTCCTCTCTTTCTTTTTTAGCCGCTGACCGCTGGAACTCAGTTCCGGCATCGGTCCGCCTTGCTGCTTCACTAAGTCAATTTCGTATCGCAATCCTAGATTGGCTAGGGTACCGGTACCTCGTAAGGAGACCATAGGTCTGTGGAGACTGCCCTAGAGAAATACATGTAGATGTACATGTATGAATAAAATTGTACTACTACTATCGCAATCCTAGATTGGCTAGGGTAACGGTACCCCGTAAGGGGTCGTCGCAAAAGTTTTTTGTCGTCCCTGAGACGAACATGATTCATTGGGGGGGGGGGGGGGGGGGGGAGTGGTGAGAGCCAAAATCGAAAGTCGACCGACACTTTACATATGACATGTACATGCATGCGATTTTCGTCGTCCAGCATAGCAAGCTGTGTTCGTTTCAGAGGGAGGGGAGGGGGTCCAAGTACGAAATGAACGATGGTCGTTTCAGGGACGACAGAAAACTTTTGCGACGACCCCTAAGGAGACCATAGGTCTGTGGAGACTGCCCTAGAGAAATACATGTACATGTACATGTATGAATAAAATTGTACTAAATTCTATTTTAACTTTCATGGTATCTCAATTTTTTGCCGTCTACATGACTTTATTTTGCCCGTAAAAGAGGCCGTTACCCCATAAAAAAAATAAATAAATAAATAAATAAAATTGTACTACTACTACTAGTCATGTACATGTACATGTACATGTACATGTACAATGTAGGTGTGAATTGAGAATCATAACCATTTGCGACAAAGAGAAGGACATTACATTTTACAAGTACAGTTTACGCTCTTGTTCTTGTACATGTACATGAAAAATGACACAAAGCAGGAGTTCTGGGACGGGCTGTGTCTCCGCTACGGATGTACATGTACGCCGGCGAGGATAATTGCGATACCGAACTGCCAACGAAGAGGATCATGCACGGCTTGATGTCGCTGCCAGTGGTTTGCAGGGCAGTCGATTTGAGCGAACCATCATTGATGTCCGGGTTTTAAGCCTTATTCTCGCTCAAGTCAGTCTGCACCACGTACCACTGTGTATCATCGACACGAAAGAGAGAAAAGAAGGGTCTACGAAGAGAGACTGAGACAAGTTGAGAATGCCACTTTTGTTCCGGCTGTGATGTCTGCGAGCAGTGGCATGGGCAAGGCAGCAACAGCCCTCTAGAAGCGAGTGGCTTCCCTGTTAGCAGGCAAGAAAGGGGAGCAATTCTCTCACGTGATGGCGTCCATCAGGTGGAAGATAGCATTCTCACTCTTGTGGTCCTGCATCAAGTGCCTGCGTGGATGCAGAAGGCTCTTTAATTGTAGTTTTATTTTTGCCGTTTTTGTTTGTTTCTAGAGCTTTGAGTTGTGGTTTTGTGGAACACTAACACTGGGAAAGGTAATCATTGTGTTTAAAAAAATATGCAGAGAACCCATTTGTACATGACAATGTAGTGTTATTTTATTTATTTATTTCTGCACCTCGTGGCATGTCAAGACAGCCAATTGAATTGCGGAGAGGGTGAGACCAACCACGGAAGAAGAGAAAAGAAGAAAATGAAGAGCACGTACATGTACACAAAGTGGGAAGGGATTAGCAAGTTCAGTCTCTCCTCGAGTTTCAATTTAGTTGTGTTGTATGATGATTGCCTTGCATGAAACTTCAGAATAACCACAAATGCCAGCCCTGGCCCTACCATTGAAAACTTGAGTCTTTTTTTTAATTTATTTTTTACTTACTAAAATAATGACAATAAGACAGTACTAAGGAAGAATGTGCCTTATCAAAGTAGGTACAGGGACATGTAAGTAGTAAGTACTGCTGTATTAGTAACTGCAGTGGCCAAGCGCAAGCAATTAGCAACTTACAAAACACACTGGACTTATTCGCACATCAAGCACATACATGACAGTGCTGGTTACTGAAATCCGACCCCCTGAGCGGTGGGTTCACATTCTTTGCGATGTGAGCGCAGCACTGCTCAGGGGGTCGGATTTCAGGTGCCAGCACTGTACATGTCAGCCTCTTTTACGGGCAAAATATTCGAAACATCAAGTTAAACGCCAGGAGTGCTATTTTCCCCGAGGTTTCTGGAAGACGCAGGTATTTTGTCTCAGCCACAGCGATGAACAGCCCCTCGTGCTGGTGCAGCAGTTTGCCTGGAGTATATTCCACACGGATAAGTGCTGCTGGGCGGTTAGGATGAAGGGCGCTGACGATCGAGCACTCCTCCTCCTCCTGCTGCTGGACCGGGCGCCGCTGGCATACATGTAGCGCTTGCTGGTCATGTGACGCGTGTCACGTGACTCGGGGAAGGCGTGCATGGTGTCTTGCAGTTCTAGCATGGTTTCTTGTACCTCTGCCACCAGCTGGGCGCGGTCTATTTTGTCTGCTGACATGACATCCTCGCCGATTGCGTCTGCTATCACGGAGTCCAGGTCATACTCTGAACGAAGAAAGAAACAAGCATAAAAGAGGCAGAAACTGTTACAACGATGAGTTTAAAACTCCGCCCTCTGCAGACACAGAGCATCATGCACTGTACTATAGTTGTACTGAACTACATTGTACTAACGACCACCCCTTGGGGCCAGAGAAAGCGGTCTTAAGTTGCAGGTGGTCCTTAGTTAGAGGTTTGCACCGCTCAACCATAATATTATGAATGTGAGACCGTCCATGCCTGGCGAACTGGTCTGTAGTACCGGGCTGGTCGCTAGTCACGGTGGTCTTTAGTTACAGGTTTTACTCGTCCGGAAAGGATATAGCCACAATGAATTGAAAACAAGAGGAATATATTGACGAAAGGGAGAAATTCAATGTAACCGCACCCACCAATACGGCAACAATTCCATCACACAATAAAACGGGATGTAAGAGTTCAAAAGTGGGGAGGTTCAAACCTGTTGGGGGTTAGACTTAATAGACACCCTCAGCAAAAAACGTTATGTTGTAACGGTATAACCGTAAGGGGGAAAATACCGTGATTTGGGTTCGACCTTTAGCAAGATGCACGCTATTTTTAGTACGCTGTTGCCACGAGAATAGCTTTTATACCGCGTGAACACGAGAATAGCTTTTATTCCCGTACGGTAGCTATGCAGAAGACGTTACTTCAGTAACGTCTGGCGCTAGCCAGGGTCCACACATCTTTAATTTGGTATTTGTGTGTTTGTTTGTTTGTTTGTGTCACGCCTGGCTCTATCCCGTATCTGCCCCGTACCGTACCGTACCATCAAACACAGCTGGCCACATACAGCTGGCCGCAATATTCAAATAAGGCTTTCAAACGCAAGATCATAACGTGAAGCAACTTGGAAGAATGGGTATGAATGCGAAGAGTATGGGGGAATGCATGTAGGGCGATAGTGCGGGTTCGAATCCCAGGATATGCCTGAAAAAAAAATAGGAGAATTGAAAAATTTATAACATCCCTATGCTTTTTTTGCCGTCATCAAGGCGGTAGACGGTGTCGTATTACCCTCGATCGTACCTATCCCCTATCTGTCCCGTACCGTACCGTACCATCAACGACGACTGGCCACAATGCATATTAAAAAATAGGGCTTTCAAATGCAAGATCATAACGTGAAGCAACTTGGAAGAATTAGTATGTATGCGAAGTGTATCGGGAGATGCATGCAGGGCGCGCGATAGTGCGGGTTCGAATCCCAGGTTATGTCTTAAAAAAAAGGATTTTTTTAAAAGAATTTATAACATCCCTATAATAGCAATAAAAAGAACAAATTCTGCAGTCATCGCCACACTACAACGAAGTCATGTAAGTTTACCAGAATTAATTTTCTTGTCACATTCATCAGTGGAAAGTCGTGACTGAAGAGTAACCATGCTGAACAATGATTAAATATACATTCAATGATGTGTTACGAGAACAAAATACAGTGCCAAAATAGAAAGAGGGAAGGTGAGACAATAGCAGTGAAGTGAGAGCTAAGTGCAACGGTGGGTGAAAAACTAATAATTATAACGCTAAAACTGTGTAGTGAGACAAACAATCATGCTGTGCACCTACGAAAACAATTTTAACGCAACTACATGTTTCTTCTGCTTACAAAGATCAGGCTTATGCAAACGAATACAAACAGCCTCAAGTACTTTCAACTGACTAGCATACCGTGCACGACAAAGAACAGAAAAACTAAAATCATCATACACCTGCAGACACTTAGGGTGAGACAACAAGTGAAGAAAAACGGCAGACTTCTTACGATCACAATCACCATCTGATTCCTCGTCTCCAACAACCGCAATCTCGTCCTCCGTTTCATCTCCCAACTCATATATTAATCATGTATATTTAATCATTGTTCAGCATGGTTACTCTTCAGTCACGACTTTCCACTGATGAATGTGACAAGAAAATTAATTCTGGTAAACTTACATGACTTCGTTGTAGTGTGGCGATGACTGCAGAATTTGTTCTTTTTATTGCTATTATAAAATTGTTGTCTCCACGTCGATTATTAACATCCCTATGCTTTTTTTTGTCTAGGTCATCAAGGCAAAAAAGCATAGCGTAGGGCCCTGAGCTTCCAAGCTCTCTCGTTTCACGCGGTACAACCATTTATGTCACCATATACATGTATGCGATACAAAGTGAAATGCGTACGGACTATGCAGTATTTGGCCAAAACACGTACCGTTGGTCACAACGATAAATCAGCCCCCATAACGTTTTTACGCTGCAGCTTCAACGCTATTTGGGTGATCAAGGTACGAGTACCGTAAAAAATAGCATTACTGTTGTTTGCTAAGTGTGTCTATTGTCTGACCCCAGTGCCGTGATGGTTATGATAACTCGTTCTTCAGTGTTTTGTGTGATGCCAGCGATATAGCTTCACATTAGAAGCCATCTTCATATTCCTATGCAACCCAGCCCTGCAGAGAGAACACGTCCCTGCTCTCACACTTTCCCCTAGCACCTCAACACGCACTGGTAATGTTTTTAAATTTTGAAAGTATCTACCTTTGCAACCTTAGTCGATCGTACCGCGCTGCCTGAACTAATTCTTCGCTTTTATCACCTCTATTCTGTAGAACAGCGTATTAGCCTCAGGCTCTATGTTTTGTGCATCGCTGCTTGGCCCAAAATCTTGCTAGTCCTCTTCTTCAATCTTTGTACCAGCTTCTGGCGACTGCCCCTGGTTACCAAGTATGCACCCAGGGCAAGGCATAAAGAGCCTTAGTTCTCCCACTTGTTAGTAGTACCACTTAGACTTACGTCGAGGAACGCTTCGCCGAGTACGGAAGGCAAGTTGACCCTTAAGGCGTGTCTTGGCACACCATGTGTCCAGGAAGGTCTTCACTGCCAGACAGTAGGCCGGCCTTGGCCAGCATTGTCCTGTCTGCTTCGAGAGAGCCTGCAGGATCAGAAGTCGCAGCTGTCCGGACCAGAACTGTACCTGCGGCACGTCATAATGAGAAGGAGAAAGTGAGAGAGGGAAAGTGAGAGAGGGAATGTGTGTGTGTGTGTCTGTGTGTGCATGTGCAAGCAGATTTATTGAATGGTGCAATCCCAGCACAGGTTGCTATGGCTTCTGCTGTAGCATCGCCATCATCACCTCTAGCGTTGGGCGTAAAGGTCAAGGTCCATGTGTGTGTGTGCGTGTGTATGTGTGTGTGTGTGTGTGTGTGTGTGTGTGTGTACGCGTGCGTGTGTGCCCGTGTGTGTGTATGTGCTTGCGTGTGCGTGTGTATGTGTGTGTGTGTGTGTGTGTGTGTGTGTGTGTGTGTGTGTGTGTGTGTGTGTGCGTGTGTGTGTGTCCATGTGTGTGTGTGTGTGCACGTGCATGCATGTGTGTGTGTGCACGTGCATGCATGTGTGTGTGTGTGTGTGTGTGTGTGTGTGTGTGTGTGTGTGTGTGTGTGTGTGTGTATGTGTATGAGAAAGAGAGAGAGAAAGCAAACCCAGGGTCCGACATCTTAAAATGCTTTTACATACTAATTTAGAATAGATCGATCTCCTTTTTCTTTTGCCACATATGTTACATTTCACTGAGTTGAATCTTGATACTCGTAAAACTTCATCCCGTATGTGAACAATGGACGCTGAGGTATCATAGGAATTCAGCATGTTGAGCTGCTTATGGCCTATTGGCGTATGATGCTCGAAACCTGGCAGATTCTGCTAGAAAGGCAGTAAAATTGGCAGACCCATACAAAACTGATGGCAGGCACTTCCTTGAATTCTGCTCGTGATGATTGATGATGTACTTATCTATTTACATGTCCATGTGGCAAATACGTATGCATGAAACATACAAGAAAAAGTACCAATTTCTGCCAATGTTCCAGGCGGCATTATCCTCCAACAAGCAACTCTGGCTAACGACCATTGACAGATGCATGACCCCGATATGATTTGTTTATGTGGGCAATATGCAACCTCTTTTCTATGCAGAAAGTGCGCATTTGCGCCACTGAGGAGCTCTTACCGAGCAAAACAGCTGTCTGGAGGATATGGAACACCTACCCCAGCAAGAACGAACTTCCTCGTTATGGAGTGGTGCTGTGAATGTGGGCCAAGAGCGCAGTGTGGAGAAGCGTGTTACCGCAATCTCGCGCATATAAGACCATGGTCTTCTACTCGAAAGGTTGCTGTTTTCGGTCCTTTCACAAATTCATTTTCGTTCGATTGTAAGACCATCTTCTTTTATGCAAGATGGACAAACATCTCATCGAGATTTACATGTGCAAGTACGCATATTATTGGTGAATGCCAGTACAGTACAATGGAACCGTGATGAACCTCGTGTGACTTTGTGATTTTCATTCACTTATAAGAGCATGTTCTTATAAGCGAGAGTGCTCTTATACCCGAAAATAAGGACACGTCCATATGTTTATGCAAAAAAGAAAGACCAAGGAACTACAAGTTACGCTATACTGACCATACTGGTTATAGCGTAACTTGTAGTTCTTTGGTCTTTATTTTTTGTATAAATTAAACCTTGGCTCTCCATCTGAGTCCATGTCTCTAAATGCGCGAGATTACGGTATCTATCCGCCAAGGGCTAGCTTCTCACCGTCTGATCCGTAGCCCAGCACGGGAACTGACAGCCGTTCACCACAATCATACGTAGCAACACCTCCCAGCCACAGGTCTTGGCGATTCCCGTGGCCACCACGTCCACTTGCCGCGAACCTAAACGCAAACAGACCAGGAGACGATATGGACGACAAATCAGAGACTCACGAGTACTAAAGTCACCACTTCCGCTGCATAGCTCGCTGAGCATCCCATTGCTTTTTAAGTTGCTAATCCCTTCCCACTTTGTGTACGTGCTCTTCATTTTCTTTTTTTCTCTTCTTCCGTGGTTGGTCTCACCCTCTCCTCAATTCAATTGGCTGTCTTGACATGCCACGAGGTGCAGAAATAAATAAAATAAATAAATAAAATAAACAGTCGGCATGGCGACAAGAAACCTAATACTGATGACAGTAGAGTAAGCGCACTCATACTACGAGAACAATGGAACGCTAATATTTTTTTTACGATTTGAACATGGTTTTCATGTTATAATCATCAGAAATCGTCTCATAAGTAGTATGCTTGGTTTTCCAGGGCTTTTTTTTAATTTTTTACCAATGTTGTACTGCATTTCAAATAATTGTGTTTTGTTCTGCCCGTAAAGAGGCTCCGACTATGGTCTTGGTTTCCAAAGAAAGGGTCATAAACTATTGTGTGTGTGTGTGTGTGTGTGTGTGTGTGTGTGTGTGTGTGTGTGTGTGTGTGTGTGTATGTGTGTGTGTGTGTGTGTGTGTGTGTGTGTGTGTGTGTGTGTGTGTGCGTCCCATATGGTGCAGTGGTATGTGCAGTCGAATTCCAATCGAGAGGTTGCGGGTTCAATTCCCGACGATTATGGTCGCACACGTCTTTCTTCTCTTTCTCGGACTCTTCCTGACTTTTCTTTCATTCTCCTGGGTGGTTACCAACAGCCAGTGTATGCCGGAGTATGTGGTGTGGTGTGTGTGTAGAAAAAATGGAAAAATGAAAAATAGGGATTCGCTGGCCAGAAAAAGTCACTTCAAACATCTGTGTGGTAGATACCAGGCTAAAAATAGTGGCGGTCAATTCATCAGCCTTGCAAGCTGTTGAATGGTGTAATCCCAGCACAAGTTGCTATGTCTAACATAGCTGTTCGCTATCAGAGTCACTACCTCACTACCTCACTACCTTTTAACTCATAGCCGTGTACTGTCAGTGCTGCTGAATGAAATCCAGTCGCGTCACTCAAGTGCGCGCTGGGCGTTGCGCAGCCCTGGACCTGCGAACACTGGGCTGCGAAATGGTGCAAGGCGCAAACTTGAGTGACGCGACTGGATTTCATTGAGCAGCACTGTCATGCAAGTTTACACTCTGCAGTTATGTCATACCCATGCAGACATGACGTCATACCCATGCAGACATGACGTCATACCCATGCAGAACTTGGAGTTACGTCGCACTAAGGAGTATACCTGTACTCGTGTTTATCGCCAATATTGGCATTCCATGACGGAGCGTAAGCCAGAAGCCAGAATAAGCCAGTATAAGTCGGAACCAATTATAATTTGAAGAAATGATTCCGACGAGAAAAGTAATGCAAGTATGATTAACATGTTGTTGGCTGACAGCATGAAACAAGGCGGAGGACAACGTGTTTGGAAACAGTGACCTTTCTACAACCAGTCTTCCACCTTGCTTCATGCTGTCAACCAGCAACATGTGTGAACTAAAATAAGGTTTATCTAAGTCTGATTTCCTAGTAGCTCCACTTACCACCTGAACTCTTTGGCCAGTTTTGTAGAGTGACTATAGGAGGTATGTCTGTGGCTGTGACAACTGGTAGTCCTCCTGCAGTTCCTTGCTCAGTGGTGGGTGGTAGAGGTGGTGGATCCGTGCGTGGGGTGGACTCTGCAGGCGGTGGCAGGGTGGTGGGTGCAGTTGTGGATTTAGTGGTCGGTGCTGTTGTGGGCGCAGTGGTTGGTGTGGTTGTTGGTGGAGTGGTCGGCGTGGTTGTTGGTGGAGTGGTAGGTGTGGTTGTTGGTGGAGTGGTAGGTGTGGTTGTTGGCGGAGTGGTCGGCGTGGTTGTTGGTTGAGTAGTTGGTTTAGTGGTCGGTGTGGTTGTTGGTGGAGTGGTCGGTGTGGTTGTTGGCGGAGTGGTCGGCGTGGTTGTTGGTTGAGTTGTTGGTTTAGTGGTCGGTGTGGTTGTTGGCGGAGTAGTAGGTGTGGTTGTAGGCGGAGTGGTCGGTGTAGTAGTCTGAGCAGCAGTCGGGGCTGGCGGTGTTGGGGATGGAGCTGGAGCGGTCTCAGGCGGGTTAGTTTCCTGCACGATGGGCGCACGTGGACGTGTCGTAGACGCAAAGTCTAGCTGGCGCGTCTGGTCTGCCGGAGTACGGGAAGTTGGCATGCGTTGTTCACCTGTACTCAGCTTGAGTCGCTGTCCGGGTGGAACTCTCCGACCAACTGGTGTGACTTCAACCAAGTATGGCGGTGTTGTCCTCGGCTCCGCGGAATCCTGCTCCGCTATATCTCCACTGTCTTCCACGCTCACCAGTTCGTCAACATCTACCACATTGGTGATGCAAACCAACACGGCAGCTCCGTAGGGCGTCTGAACATTGACGATCTCCCCCGTCGGACACTGGGATGGGTTTTGCACGATCCGAACGGACGATGGTGGCAATCGGCCCAGGATTGGGGAGACGAGTTGTCTAAGATCCGAGTATGTCTGATCCGCAACGCCTCCCGGCATTCCAGCCTCGGGATCACCTGGAACTTGTTCGTGCTCCCCTGCAGGAATGAATGAAGACTCTGTACCTGGTGTCGTAGACGTAAAGTCTAGCTGGCGCGCCTGGTCTGCCGGAGTACGGGGAGTTGGCATGCGTTGTCCACCTGTACTCAGCTTGAGTCGCTGTCCGGGTGGAACTCCCCGACCAACTGGTGTGACTTCAACCAAGTATGGCGGTGTTGTCGTCGGCTCCGCGGAATCCTGCTCCGCTATATCTCCACTGTCTTTCACGCTCACCAGTTCGTCAACATCTACCACATTGGTGATGCAAACCAACACGGCAGCTCCGTAGGGCGTCTGAACATTGACGATCTCCCCCGTCGGACACTGGGATGGGTTTTGCACGATCCGAACGGACGATGGTGGCAATCGGCCCAGGATTGGGGAGACGAGTTGTCTAAGATCCGAGTATGCCTGATCCGCAACGCCTCCGGGCATTCCAGCCTCGGGATCACCTGGAACTTGTTCGTGCCCCCCTGCAGGAATGAATGAAGACTCTGTACCTGGCCAGTAGGCATCCGACGAGAACTCAGTGGGCGGCTCTACCTCGTGCACGGCGCTCGGCCCGTACGCCTCGCCTCCAACGAATTCCGGCTCCTCCGCCATGACCTCCGAGAATCGCCGAACTCGCAGACGGCCGGCCGCTTCCAAATCATGATCTCTGGGTATCCTCTCATCCCGCTGTGGTTCGACGGGAGTGATCGAATCAGGCTCTAGGCAGTGAGCGCAAGCGATGCTTAGCAGAAGGGACACGAGAACTGTGCAATGCATGACTTCCGCCACACCGATGCTAGAAAGTTACCATGAAAAGACACACGCAAATGATTGCACTTGTTATCAGTAATGAGATCGAGAGAAGACACAGAGATACAGAGTTGAAATCCTCAGCAACTAACTTGGTTACTTGCTTTTGTAGACTCGGCTCAGTATAGTGTTGTGTATTTCTTTCACCAGACTGTAGGCTAGCTAGAATGCAGAGTTTGACGGGCTGATGTTGATGCTGAATTACATGCCAGGGTCAGGGAACGTCCGAACTCGACAGTCAGTACGGAGCATCAGCAAATCGAATTTTCGATTTGATTATTCGAATGGAAAAAAGAAAATCAGAGAGAAAATTCGAATGAAAAAGAGGTTCAGCATGTAGCGCAGTGCAGTATTTTTAGCTACATGCGCAAGAATGAGTACTCGTAGTGCGCCGTGTACCAGAGCACGCTCGGAGCATTCGAAAAGTATTCGAAAAGTATTTTCTGTTTGCGGGCATTTTTCAGTCGAACAAAGCCCTAGTTTCGACTGATTGAGTCCTTTTCGTGACGATTCTCGAATTTCACTGGAATATTCGATTTGCTGATGCTCCGTAGTAATGTCCCCGTGAGCGACTGAAAGAGACACAAGCAGATCGTCATAAGGGATGACAAGAAGCGCAGCTTACTTGTGCTCTGCGGTGAACGACTTGCACTGTGCTGTCTGTTCGACAGTTCATTCTACTGTAGCGGACATGGAAATCCAGTCGATTGACCGGGGCCGGCGCCCTCAGCGCAGAATCGCAGTGCACATGTTGATCCAATGCGACCAGCGCATACATGCATGTGTGTAGTACTAGTAAACCCTCTAAGGCTCTATACTGTGTACCGCTTGTCCACGGCTGCATGGCCAGCGCTCTGGGGCCGCTAGACGTGCGACCGGATTTCCATGTCCACGACATTACATGTAGCTTTCTACCTCTCTCCCTCTCATCTCTCTCCTTACTCCTAAAGATAATTATAATGATAATTATATCTTTCGCCGTTTAGGAGTAATGAGAGAGAGAGAGGGAGCTACAGCTACATTTTAGGTCCCCCGCTGAATCTCGCAGCCACCGTCAAACACACTTAGGGTTACCTGTCAGGCTGTCACTCCTTTTAGGAGTCCCGGAGTAAAAATATGATCCAATAACAAGTACACGTAGAATGAACTGACAACCAAATTGTTTGGCTGTCAGTTCAATGCATTGCTGCACCACTGCCTTTCAATTCCCTCCTGATCTCGGTGGACGTTCACGTGCGTTCCACGCAGAGTGCATCCCTGGAACACCCGATCCCCATTTTCACGAGATCCAAACATGACACTGTATGTATACAGTGGTGTCAAGTCTTTGTCATCCACTTTCACAGCAACAGCAACAGCAACACGCACAGAAGTCTCTGCTGTGAGCACGGTGGTGGTTCGGCTGGTCTTTCCCGACAGGTCCCTGCATTCATAGTACACTGTATTGGTTGTGAAGGAGATCTGGGGCTAGCCCTTGCCAGATAATGTTAGGCATGATTTTAGCAGATTCTGCCCCGGAACAGTGAAATTGGCAGATTCTGCCCCGGAACAGTGAAATTGGCAGATTCTGCCCCGGAAACAGTGAAATTAGCAGATTCTGCCCCGAAACAGTGAAATTGGCAGAACCATGGTATGGTATGGTATTTTATTTTTATTCACCAATCGAACAGGCATATCTGCCTTCTTGCCGGGATGGCCAGAGCCAACCACGGCTCCTACTAATAATTGATGAGTATGATAATGTGAAGCAAAGAACCATACAAACATTATGGCGGGCAATTCCACGAATTCTGCTCCATTTCTTTATCCACATACCGTACATGCATGACACACCAGAACGGTAGTGTACATGTATGTACCAACTTCTGCCAATAGGGCTTGAAAGTGATGACGTCAAAACGGCCAGGGAGTAGTAAGTTGACATCAGATTTCTATTTTTGGATCCACTAAGGTGTGACTTTGCTATTGCCTAAGTATGTGGGTGCATAGCAACCCACTCATGTCGCATGCAGGTGTGACTTTTATTTCGCCACCAGTTGTAACCCCGCCCCGGGCCAGTAGCCAAGTCAGTCAATTTTACTGGCTACATCACCATGCTGTGGGTAAGACCGCTTGAAATGTGCTTGGATCCATACAAAAACTGGATCCAAGTGGATCCAGTTTTTGAATTTTTGAAATTGTTGCTATGCTGTGACGTAGCACTTTCAAGAAGTTCTCGGCATCATCCGCCAAGGACTATCTGGAATGCGGTATGCTTCATCTATAGATAGCGGACCCGTATCGCAGGATTATACTGCATGCATGTACATCTTTTTCTTTTCTTTTTTTTTTTATATTGAACACCCACTGCATGATGAACTAAAATGAGGAGGAGAACTCGACTCAATGGTACATATCCAGAAAAACGGAGTGGGTGTGCATACAGTACAATGTGGGGTAGTGCCTTTGCTGTTTGTATTACGCACAGCTCACTGACTTGTCAGTTTGAGCACTCTGGCAAGGTACCTTCGGGCCTGATCTAAATCTGGCTGTGCGAATTTTTATTTTCATGTATCAGGTTCGGCCTCATTTTCTCTGTGCTGCGCTGATGAGTTCACAAAGAAGGAAACAGCATGCTGATTGCTGTCCGCAGATTGAGTACATGAATGACATGTACTGTCGTGGACATGGAAATCCGGTTGCACGTCTAGCGGCCCCAGGGCGCTGGCCATGCAGCCGTGGATAAGCAGAACATGCATTTTGCGCTGCAGCGCGCTGCCGCTGGTCGCATCGGCTCAACATGACGTTGTGCACATGCAAGCAGCGTTCTGTACGCGCTGAGGGCGCGGCCCCGCCGGTCAATCGACTGGATTTCCATGTCCGCTACAGTACATATACCGGTAGGTCCTTTCTTCCTCGTTCACCTAGTCTTGACCCTAAGGCATATCCTGGGATTCGAACCTGCACTATCGCCCTACATGCATTCCCCGATACACTTCGCATTCATACCCATTCTTCCAAGTTGCTTCACGTTATGATCTTGCGTTTGAAAGCCCTATTTGAATATTGCGGCCAGCTGTATGTGGCCAGCTGTGTTTGATGGTACGGTACGGGGCAGAAACGGGATAGTGCCAGGCGTGACACAAACACACAAACAAACACACAAATACCAAAATTAAAGCTGTGTGGACCCTGGCTAGCGCCAGACGTTACTGAAGTAACGTCTTCTACATACATGTAGCTACGGGAATAATTTTATTTTCATTATTTTATTGGTTTGGTGAGACTCCCATGATAGGTATCCATTTACCTCTGGAGAATCCGTAAATAAACACAACAATCACAACAACAACAACTTCCGGCCATTGAAAGACACCACACATTGCATGAACTGCGGCCTCGACACCGCATTCCTGACTGGCACAAAGCTGAATAGAACCTGCGACTTCCTGGATTTTATTGCCAAGCACACCCATAATCGCTTTCCCCATTATGCGTCACATTACCTCACCTATCCCAATGGGCCTCACACCAGGATTTGTCTCCAGAAGAATAAGCCTGGAAGTGGTGTAGGCTTCTGAACTGACTGGATCAACATACCGGTAGGCTTAGGCTGTTAGATAGGTCGTCAAAACCTCGTTACAGTCCATTCATTGGAAACTGCCACCCTAACTTTTTGGTGTCTCTCTCACATAGTTGTAGATATCGTGAAAACAACAGTACATCCTGCATTGTGTGACCCGTGCAAGTACTCCTTGCCACATTTGAGGGCAGAAAAGTCCAAGAACAGGGAAATAGAAATTCAGCCAGGTTTTACAAAATTAGGACAGGTATGCCATGGCAAAGTGTATGGAGAAGCAGATCCCAAACCCAGATTTTGGAGATTTAAAGTGGGTTTTGATCCTCAATTCGGCCCAAATCCGATTTCCAAAAGCCAGCGGGCCAGTTTCCGATGAATGGACTGTAGTTATGTCCAGTGGTTGTCTCTTGTTGTCGCACTACATGTGTATTAGAGTTTGCTCGCACTTGCACCTTTGTGTCATTATTGCTATGTGTATAGGTCACTATAGGTCACGTATTTTCGCTGTTAACTTTAGCTATCTTCTTCTTTGCGCTGTTTTAACACCTCCTTACTGTATTTAATCCCCTGTTCCTGTTCCTTTTCCCTTGCCTGTATTTTACCTGATGAGAAGGCTTGAAAGTATACTTGTGAAACCAAAAACTACCTCCTTACTGTATTTAATCCACTGTTCCTGTTCCTTTTCCCTTGCCTGTATTTTACCTGATGAGAAGGCTTGAAAGTATACTTGTGAAACCAAAAACTTTCAAGATGTTCGTAAAGAGCCTGAAGTGTGTCCTTTTTATGCGTATTATCGCATTTTTGTCTCAGAGGAAACTCTTTATCTATCAAGAACTGACCTTTGTGACGTGAGTGTGTGTGAGCATGACCATTTTTGAAAATTAATTGCATGGGGAGGTGGAACTGGAGGAGGAGTGGGTCACGGAAAAAACACCAACATCCTCAATATGACACCATATGGCGTTCCTCAAGGATCAATTCTTGGTCCCCTACTATTTATAATTTACGTAAACTATTTACCTGCAGTCTTCCCTGGAACGTCTCTGTTTGCTGACGACACGACCCTTCTCACCTCATCAGCTTCCCTCACTGGCCTGAAAAACCACTTGCGTGCTGGCATTCAGGAAGTTCTTTCCTGGATGTCGTCCTGGAGATTGTCCCCAAATCTATCAAAAACAAAGATCATGCTCTTCCCGCCCCAGCCAGAGTTCAGAACCCTCATCCATGCCAACTTTCCAAATCCAATTGACATAGTGTCTTCTCACAAACACCTTGGCGTTGTGATTGACTTTGCACTCTCTTGGGTACCCCACATCGAATATATCTGTAAAAAATCAAGTAAATCCTTAGGAATTCTCTCCCCCCACTGCTCCTACCTCCCACTTTCTTGCAAGCTTCATTTTTATTTAGCCTACCTTCGTCCAATATTTGATTATGCCGATACGTCTTGGGTTGGGTTATCCTCTTACGCTGCTGCAAAGCTTGAAATACACCACAAGAAAATCCTTAAAATTCTCCTCCGTCAACCCCGCATGCTCTCATCATCCGCCCTTTATAAAATCGCTCACACAACCC